AGTGTCGCAGAACAGGACTTCAGTCCGTATTACGATTCGCTCGATACTACTGTATCGCGATCACTTGTATTTACGGATGCTGGATGGGCACTTCGCGTGTCACCAACCAGCCCAGTTGTCAAAGAGCAAAGTCACTGGACGGTAGATAGTGGTGCATCCAAGCACTCCACTTTCCATCCTGAGTGGTTCATCACCTACGAACCATTCTCATCCTTTGCTGGCGCAGCCGACAGCCACCAACTCCATGGCATCGGCCGTGGCACAGTCCAACTCGAGGTCGCTGGCATCAACGACGACACATTAGTGATCTATCTGCAGGATGTATATCACATCCCAGATTTTCCGTGGGTCGTGCACTACATATGGACCGACATAAAATTGTCTCCATCACCCCACAGGAGTGGACTCTAGCCACCTACGACGGCGAGTTCACCGCAACCTACGACGAAGCCACCGGGTTGTATGTCATTGCGACGCGGCTTTCACCGCGCATCGCCGACTCCACATCGACCGTCCTCGTGACGCAGTCGAGTGCAGAGGGCACTATGCAAAGGCACCATCGACTGGGCCATCCAAGTCATGACAAGCTACGCAAGTTGCGGTGTCATTCGACCGTATTTGAATTTCCTATCTCTCGGCAGGCCATCACGGCTCATGCTTCGTGCGACACATGCTTAAGGTCGAAGTCCAAAGTTCTTCCCTTTTCACGCAACAAATTTCCCAAGTCATCGAGGCCTCTGGAACGAGTGCACTCCGACGTGTGGGGTCCAATCAATATCCCTTCTATTTCTGGGGGTCGATATTTCGTCACGTTCATCGACGACTTTACCCGATACACTTTTGTGTACATCATGCAAAAGCGCGCAGACCTGTACGACAAGTACAGCGCGTTCTGTCGCGACGCACGGCAGAGTTATCGCTCTGACGTCATCGAGCTTTGCTACCATCACTCACCACCCAGTGAGTTCGAGGAAATCCAAGCGCTTCAAATGGACAACGCTAAGGAGTATGTTAAACTCGGGGCCCGTGTTCAAAGCGAATACGGCACCCGCCTTACGTACACGAATGCCTATACCCCGACCCAGAACCATGTGGCCGAGCGGCGTATGGGCATCATCGTCACCATGGCTCGCTCCATGCTACTGCATGGTAATTTACCACAGTTCTTGTGGGGCGAAGCCATATCCCACGCAGTGTTCCTCATGAACATACTGCCGTCCACCACCATCAGTAGGGACACTCCGTATCGCCTATAGCACCAGAGCCATCCAGACTACGCACGTTTACGCGTATTTGGCTGTGTAGCGTATGCACACGTCAACATACCCATGAGTGTGAACAAGCTGTCTCCCCGAGGCATGCTGTGCATGTATATTGGCTTACCCGAGACATCTCGAGGGTTCGAGCTGTTGAACATCGACACACATTACGTGCTTACGAGCCGCAATGTGCCGTTCGTTGAACATCAGTTTCCCTCCTGAAATCAGTCGAGGACGTGAAACGTCTTCGAAGTGAACATCCACAGCGGAACTGTTTCACCGTGGACCAAAGCTCACCATCCCTCCAACCAAGCCTGCCTTCACCTCTTGGGGAGGCTGGGACATCAGCCCCCACCCCACTTGGGGAGGCCGATACGACCTCACCTCTACCCACACTTGGGGAGGCTTTACTTCGTGGGCCAACAGGTACAGTGTGGCAAGTCCCTGTCGTACATGACGTACCAGACATCACTCCACCTGGCCGTTTGGATGGCATCATTCGCCACCCCTCACACCAGTCGTCCACAACTCCGGCACCCAAGCGCCGTCGAACACAACGGAGGAATATTTCCCCGTACCATGTACCTCGTTCCACGAGAAGTACAGACTACCGTACTCCGGCATGTGTGAGTACGACATCCACCTCCACTCCAACGTCGTCACATACGACAACCCCGTTGCTCGCAATTCCGCCTCGGCCCTCACGGTCTCGAGCAGCGGCGATAGCACATGTCGTACGTCGTCTCATCGACGTCTACCACACTGGACACGGCGGACACGTCCA